GGACGTGGTGGTGCGAAATTAGCCGCCGCAGCTGCAGTAACTAACACTATCGGAACTACTGATGGTCTTACAACTCTTACTACTGTAAAAAAAGGTACAAGACGAAATGGATATAGTGGACACGCCAAAGGAACCGAAGCTACACCAAAAAATTCTAGGAAATAAAAAAAATCAAGAATAATATAAAGAAAATCACAATTATTACCTTAAGCATTTAACCCGTCAAACAAACACAACATTCACATTTCATCATTTTTTTCACATAAATAGCATTTAAATTCAAACAAATACATTTATAGATAGAGAATTTGTAAAATATTATTTTTGTATGGCGCCTTTTTTTTTTTTTTTTATCTACACTCTACACTCTACACTCTACACGTTACAGTATGTATGACACAAGGATGGGTTACTATAGATAAATCATTTATACACATTCCTTATTTGTACCTATTCAAATTTAGAACCTTTTTTACATATACAGTATATATACATTTTTCTTTTTTTTTTTTTTTTGTAAATTATTTGGTCAAAGATACTTTATTTTGGTTACAAGTGTATTGTATCTCTTTTTATTGTATCTCTATTGTAATAAACCTTTTTAAATATTTTGAACATAAAACTTATCATTATCAGTTATCTCAGTTATTATCAGTTATCATTATCAGTTATTATTATTATTATTATTATTATTATTATTATTATTATTATTATTATTATAATTATTATTGTTATATATTATTGTTATTATTAATTGCAGTAATTGATATTATAACAAATTCATCAAGTTTTTCCTCGGCATCAGTAGTGATAAGAGGAGATGACCGATAAAAATATATTATGTACATACAGTAGACAAGTGTAATTGTTATTTCCCAAATATGCATTTAAAACATTCCGAGGGAATCACAAAAAAAAAAAAAGTATAATCGTTTCTTAAAAGTAGTAAATTTAAAAAGATACGTTAATCGTTTCTTAAAAGTAGTAAATTAAAGATACGTAAACCTTTTCGTAGAAGGAATGACATCATTTAACATCAGTGTGTTGACTATAATAAATGTGTTACCATAACCATGACAATACATACACAATAAAAATAAAAAAAATCTGCATAATTGTTATTTTTAAAAAAAAAAAACTACTTATACCTAAATATTATGATTTCATGATTTTTTTTTTGTTTCGAAAATCATCTGATTTTCATACAGCCCAATGAATTTTTAACTATATACATGAATGATGTTATTATTAAAAATAATGTCGTCTTTTTTTTGTGCTTGAGTAACACTTAAATAACTTAAATAAGGCCTAGAACATTCTGTTTATGGTAACAAACATCCGAAAATAAATTAAATCTCATTGGATAATAATTGAAAAGTTTACTATTTGAAGTGACAAATAATTCTTACCTAATGATTCACAATCTAGGAAATATCTTACACTTTTAGAATAATCTATTTTTAGCATGTACGTATTGTAGTACCTGTAGTTACGTACTGTACTTTATCAGATATTTTCTATTTTCAATACTAGTTTATAGTAATCAGTTTTAAAATAATCAGGTTTTTGCTTGATTCAGAATAGTTTTATATGCAATAGATCTTTATTTTTGAAATTCATTACAATTGAGAAATTCGCTATAGTATATAATAAAAAAAAAAAAATTTTTTTTTAAAATAATAATACTATATACTATATAATAATACTGTAACATTATACAGTATATTCAGTAACATTATTCATTGAATGAAAAAAAAAAAACTGCATCTATATAAATTTGTATGTATGTTAATTATAAACAGGTTTATGGCTTATCAAGTTTCATAAAGAGTCACAAAAAGAGTCACAAAAAATACAATATACCGAAATATTGAAAATACTGGGGTTTACTAAACTTACAATTGCAGATCTTTGATTATCGTGATGAGGAAACAAAAAATAGTTAATTAAATTTGTGTCATTAATTCTAATAAACTACCGTTGACAATTTAAGAGAACAGGGATAAGCATTATAATTCCAAGTACTTTAAATTAAACCGGTATAATATATATAAATACCTATTTTAGTTTAACAAGTGTGTTTACTTTTACATTTAAAATCAATCACGTCATTGGAAAATTACATCTCATTTTATGTCGTTGTCAAAGAATTACTAACTTATTTAATCTTACAATTAAAAACTGATTTGAGAAATTAATAGTATGTTGCTTGTGATAGAATGTATTATGGTTTTCGGTATATCATTCCGAAGAACTAATTAAGATAATAAATTCCATATATGCTAGCATTAAATCTGTACCGTTCTTTACAATATGTCTAACATAGTTATTACATACTTAATACATAGTTAGTACAATACATGAACCATAAATAAAAGTAAGCTTATTTATGACTTTACCGTAATACAGTGTCAAAAAGGATTTTTTTTATTATAACATTCTATGTATCGTCGTCACACTCGTACAAGTTTAAAGACAAAGATGAGAATAAGATATAGAGAATTCCCAGATTCAAATATTTTTAAAAGTACATGAATAGAGATATTCTTATAGAAGGTCTTTGTTTCTTATGTTTCATAATGTTTATTAAATATCCGATCATTAAGCGTGGCTTGACAAAGGAAATTATCGCGTCTTTATGTCTTTGACAATATAATAAATGCGATTTTTGATAATATGAAACGAGTTTCAGTCGGAGTTATAGCTCCTAATATTGTGTCATATTTTATGATATTACTTACTGTATAACAGATAATGAATTACTAATTTTGATATATTCATCATACCGTAAATATCTGTTCAATTTAATGAATTTCTATATCATAATTAAAACTAGAGCATAATTAAATTAGAGCATAATTGAATTAATTAATTGAATTAATTAATTGAAATTGGAATATAATTGAAAAAAGAATAGAGCATAATTGAAATTTTAACTGTATAACATAATCGAAATAGTTTTCATACGAATAATTCTGTCGCCATACATGTTGGCTTGAGCGTTTAATACATATATCATTTAGTGTATACAGTAATTTTGTGGCTTTTTTTTGATCACAAGGATATAATTTTAAAAAATATGTATATAATATCTTTTGTTACCTAATATCCATTATTTCTTTATTAAACTTACTGTACACATGTGTGTAAACATATGCGTATGATGTGTATGATGTGAGATCTGAGAAAATTAAAGTCCTACTCCATTGCAACTCACTACAACTTATAGCAACTCACTACAACTTATAGCAACTCACTACAACTTATAGCAACTTATTACAACTTATAGCAACTTATTACAGCTTATAGCAGCTTATAGCAACTTATAGCAACTCACTACAACTTATAGCAACTTATACAACTTATAGCAACTCATTACAACTTATAGCAACTCATTCAACTCATTACAACTTATAGCAACTCATTACAACTTATAGCAACTCATTGTAACTTATTGCAATTCATTGTAACTTATTGCAATTCATTGTAATTCATTGTAATTCATTAATTGTTAAAATGTAACCATTAAATTTTTCGACGCGATTTTTCCTTTTGTTTCAATTATACATACATCTTCGATGATAAGCTTTTATGATATTCTTTATAAAGTTAATTACAAACCCTGATTAGATTAATGTATAAATCTTATTGGATGATACATCGGTAAAACAAAGGAGTAGAACAAAGGATCACCATATGACCTCAAAATGTTACCATCTATATAATTTTATTTTTTTGAATAATATTGGAAATTCTTTTGTTCTCGTTTTTATTGGCATTGTTTAACAAAGGATTCTTTTTTTTTTTTTTTATATATATAAACCCAAAATAGGAACATAAACTAAATTAGTATCTTTTAAAAGTGACATCACTTTAATCTAATACAACATTGTTCTTACTTGTCTTTCTATTCAAAAAAAAAAATTGGTTGTACGTAACTTTGTAACTTTGTTCTTTGAGCTTAACCTTTGTTATCAATAATAAAATGTGATAATTATGATTTCATTTATGTAAATGAAAAGACAAAGAATCATGCAAGAGAATCTCAGAACGTGTAAACTTTAAAAAATTACTCAAGGTACAACCAAGAAATGTGGCAATCGTAAATAAATGCTAATTCCATAAATTATTCATGTTATTGACATATGCCTTAAATGGCATATCTTTTCATTTAATTTAACCTATAAACAAGGTATTCTTAACTTATAATGAGTTTAAAGAAGGCGCAATATACAAGGATTTACATTATAGTTTTTATATCCACCTACTTTATTCATCGAATTCTTCTTTACTTTATATGTCGAAAAAAAAAAAGGAACCTAATTTATAAATTAAGTAATCCCTAGTATATCTAGTATATATCTAGTATATGATAAACAAAAATGCAATGCAAGATCTTAGAACCGAAATTTGTATTACTGATATTAACTAAATAAGAAATGTAAACAATGGTAATCAAGATCGTCGACCGTTACCCGAAAATTCGGGTTTCGGTCCAGAGTTTTATAATATTACAAGGGTTATTTATCATTAATTCAAATCTACAGTGGCGTCGTTAAAAATTAATTCACTTTACCAGATTTAAATAATTTATATAAATATTACCTATAGGTGGGAAAAAATTATTATATAATTCAAGGGTTAAACTTGAAACACTAATGAAACATTTAACTCCTTAAACGGCGTTTGGTTTCATATAAGATGTAATGCACATCACCATCTTAAGAATTTAAATGACATACACGCGAAAAAAAAAATAAGCCCCAAAGAAAAAGAAAATAAAGCTTTAAATGATATAATACATATTAAAAATTAATTCAATTCTCCCGCCATAATGTGTACGTCATCAATAATACAAGTGACAATCTAAAAAAAAAAAAAATGTGATAAAAAATGCCAAGAGCTGTCATGAATGTGTCATACTGTTTTTTAAATAAATATAAATATATACATTTTTTTTCGTAGAATGTTAATTGTTAACATTTACAATTCCTTTTACGATGAATCCCGGAGGCTTAAATTCCGACTCATTTATTATTTACTTGTGGTTATCAAACATTCATTCCTTTGGACCCTTACTTGGACAAGATAAACCATTTGAATTTGAATTTCAAAAAGGGGTATATAATAATATCATTAAAAAAGAATTCCAGAGTATTTATTTTAATATAAAATGTATTTTTCTTTTTGCAATTAATTAACATCATGACGCGGCAGTAAGAACAATCATTGGAAAACACCTTTCTTCAAACGTGGCATGATATCATCTCACAATTAAGTATAACTAACTATAATTAATTATGCGCGTTATATTTTGTAAATAAATTCTCAATTATATTTCTTAAAACTCTTACGTATACGTGTTATCTTTTATGAACATATGATAATTGCTTTCCTTAAATGAATTGATAACAATCTACGCATAAAATTTACCTAAAATACACTTATTATTAGCGTTAGAATTAAAGATTTCCACAAAAAAGTATTTATAGAACTTCTTGTTTTATCAAATGTGTGAAATGACGTAATATTTAGAGGCAAATCAAAATTTACCTTTAGTTGATCGAAAAAAAAATTGATATTTTAAATTTACTAATTAAGTATAATGGCTTGCATAGACTATGAGGTTATGAAAAATAAACATAACAATTTAAAGACCTCATGACAATGTATAATAACATTTTGTACATTTAATAAAAAAAAAAAAAATTGTACGTATAATTCACGTATTTCGTCAAGGTAATAACATAATATACGTACTGTACATCGTATGTACAATACCCCCAATTTATTTAGGCAAAGATTGATTCATAGCATTTATTCGATCAATTATTTTTAGAATATTGCGGTATAACCTTGCGATATAACCCTGTAATATTAGCCTGCGATAATCCTGCGATTATCCTGTGGATTATACGTACTCTTTACATCGCGTATAACCATGATGTTATGTCGCTTTGAAATCGGAATCAAATCGGATTAAAATTTTCTATATATGTAATTAATGATGTGCGATAACTGCATAATGCTAAGCTTTCTCTCTGTACATATGTAAACGTACGTACGTACAGTACATACGCACGTACATTAAAATTACACTGGGTCTAGTTTTTTAATTTATCGATAATGATAGGTACTATAGATCTTTAAAAAACGCTCGTTCATTTAAATACATATGCTTGGGGGTGAAAATAGATCATAAAATGAGTTTCTTGGTATAGCAATTGATTTTTTTAATGCAAAGAAATGTGATCTGATTAGGTTATATTTTTATTAGGTTATTTTTAAATTATACTTTTAATGCACTTACAAAAAGGAGCGATAGAATATTTTAGATATTTTTGTTAGTTATAACCTGTAATGACTTTTAATGACTTTTAATGACTTTTAATGACTTTTAATGATATGTAAAAATTAGGAATATCGAATGCAGACACAACCGAATAAGTTGAAATTAAAAAAAATTTTACATTCGAAAAGAACATTTCGGAAGTTAATTGCCGATGACGTAATTGATGACGTAATTGATGATACGTTTGATGACGTTTTACATATTGTTGATGATGTTATCAATGAAATTAAACAATTGGATATCAAATTACTTTTTTATTACTCTTTGTAAAATAAACAGTTTTCCAAGATTACTAAAACAGCTACTAGAATAACAATGATATCATGTGATTTATACTAATTTAGAATATTAAACAATGATAACAGATAAGAAAAACGTCCTTTTATATGATCTGAAAAGGAAATTTTGCGATTCAAGTAAAAAAAAAATCCCAATAACGAAATTCATTCAACATTTGACGCAAAAGATATGTCATTCTTACGCCAATCATAAATTTCTTAATAGAAAAAAAAAGTTTCATTTTAGAACATATGACAAGAAAATGAATAATATTAATTAGTTTAGATGAAATAAAATTGTTGCAAATAAACTTGACAAAAAACGTAATACAAAGAAGTGATTCTTCGTTTTGATGTTGAGTAGTTGTCTGTTATCACAAATTTGTTATCAAGCCACTAAGTATAAACTTGTATAATTTTCGGTATGAAAGTTTAAAAATTATTATCCATGTATATTTACCTTTTATGTAAGTACATACGAACGTACCAGGTACGAATTGTACGTACCAAGTACGTAATTGATGTTCACGAACTTAAAATATGATCCTTCGAAATAAGAATTATTAATCCACTTTTGAACTTTCATGCCCTGTCGATTCTAAACATGCGTGTATGTACAGTACGTTACATCATTAAGAATTTTAATGAATAATAAAATAAAGATTATTATGCCTACTTATCATACGATTTTGTTAAGTTCTCAAAGAACCTGCTGTGCGCACTTAATGGTAATGATTAGTGGTTTAAAAGTGAAAAAAAAAGAAAGTAAAGTTTGGCATCCAAATTTTATTTAAATGAAAATGATAACAACGTTATTCCGAATTTGATTATTTGATGAATGATATCGTTGTTGTTTGTCAATTGCTACCATGCATAAAACCTGGTTATTCGATAAATATGACACATAACACAGTATACTTGTATAATACTTTGATAATTATTAAAAATTAAGTTTTTGTGCGTAACAGTCAGTATTTTATGCACCATCACATCATCTCAGATCTAGCTCCGAAATTTGAATCAAATATTCGATTGATAAAAAAATTTTTTTTTTTGCTTCAAGTGATATAGAATAAATCATAAGATTTTTGATAAAGGATATTGGTTCTTGTGGAAGAACGTAAATATGAACTCATAGGCAAAATCTAAATTTGGTTGATTGGTTCACTGAATGTTGTTGATCATACTTTGTATATTAAAGTTGCATATCGGCATATCGATAGTTGAAAAACTGTTTGCTTATTCACTCTTTAATTGGTTTATTCTTAAGGATGACGATTCTTTACTTATTCTGTGTTCTGTGATCTTATTTGTATACTTTAAACAAAGTCACAACGCATACATATTTTTACCTAGTAGTATAATAGAAAGTTGTCAAGATTTGCTTTCGCTGAATCTTGTAACTACCAATTAAATTATCGCCATGAGTGAATGACAATAATTGGAAATTTTTAATGAATATTGAATTCATGCGTCTGTCCTTATTGTCTTTATTCTTTCTATTGAACATTATGTCATTTTTTCAATGACGAAATGATGTTGAACTAGGCATTATTTGGTAATGACTCGTGAGATGACAAGCGATCACTTACAGCATCTTTTGTTTGCACCTGTAATAATTCATATTGGTTGATTTATCGTACGTAACAATTCATATCTGATATCAGATATTGGTTGATTTATCGTACGTACGTACGTAAAAATTTGGAATTTTTCCTTCTAATCGATTTCAACTTTTCTTTTTGAACGCATTCGTTAATCATCACTTACAAAGACTCGGTGTATATTGTCACATTTACAGTAATGCATGTTGTTAATTGATTTTCTCACTTGAATCCATTTGCCTTTAGCAAACACTAGCAAAAATGCGTTAAGAAATAACTGGGTAATAGCTAGGTATGTTAATTATGCAGTATTATTTATTTTCTGTTTTTATCTAATCTTTGACCCATGAATTATTTTTTTTATCACCTAATGTAATACCTGTATTTTTTTTTTTTTTTAAAGTAGACCTCCTCTTTATGGTTGGTTTCAGCTTTGGGCATTTCATAACCGCGCATGAAACCCGCTGTATAAAAGAGCTTCGGGAGGTTCTGACATAACACTAAAAATAGCATTCATATTAATAATTACTATTAATAATTAAATGTACACGGAATTTCTAAACTTTTGGATGAGCGCGTTTTTGCCCTGGACATTGGCATACGATAATTCACAAATTTTGTCAGAGTTGGATCCCGGCCTTTAAAAGCGGGTTATTATTAGTTATAATAGTTATTATCCGCAGCTTACTATGATCAGAATAATTCGAGTTCTTTTAGTGATAATTGTATCATCATCAAATAACGAAGTTATTTGATAATGACGCCAAAAGAACTCGAATTATTCTGTTGGTTCGGTCGTCGTAAGCCACCCGATAAAACCGTTATTGGATGCTATGTACGCAGTCAGATAAAATGAATCATTTTGCAAATAATTCTGTTATTGGCTGCTTCGCATCCAATAACTATATATTATTACTTATTTTTACAATATACGTAAATGAAAGAATGGATATTTAAAATTTTTTATAATTAGAAAATGCCAAACTTATGAAAAATAAACCTAGTTTTTTTATTCTATTTAAGTATAATCATGCTATGCGAATTATTATGCAGATGAACGATTTCAACTCGAGAAGTAATCGACGATGCTAAAATCATGAAATTTTTCTTATGACATTAATTTACTATGCAAAGATGGATAATAAGTAATGCTAATTGTAATAGATTTTCTTATTAATAAAGAACAATTTTATAAACTCATTAATCTAGAAAAATTTTCTTTCTATTTGCTAAAAATATCAATATTTTTTATTTTGCAAATTCTCTATTATTTTTATAAAAAAATTAATATTTCTAGGAATAATAATTTTTATAATTTTTTTACTTAACGTCAATAAAGGTTATTATAATTTGCACGCCGCTTGTTGATATACAGTACATAATTATGATCTAATTTCGTATTCTTAAAAGCTCAGAAATTTATTATAAAAATAGTATGTGCCATTTTATTGTGATAATTTAACAGTCTCTAAAGTAAATGTAGTTTTTATCATCTAAAAAGTTAATTATAAAATTGCTATATAAAAAAAATTATTTCTAATAAAAGAATATGAAATGAACAAAATCTAATTAAAAAAGTTGGGTTTGATTAAAATCAAAAAAAAAAAAGATAAATCAAAAAGAGAAAATTAAAAAGAGAGTAAATATGCTACTAAAAATTCATACTATTTAACTATGTCTGTATGAACACTTTTACTAAAATGCATCTATGGTGTTTTACCACCTAGGTTCCTATTTCTCAAAAACGTACTAAGTAAACGGGATCAGGTACTCTAAGTAAAAATGTTCAGGACCCCCAAAAAACCTCACGAAAACTGAGATCGGGCCTTATATTAGCTCTATATTATATTATATATAAAAAATAATAATTCTTAATACCCGAGCTCTAACCCTAAATTTTATTAAATACAATTATATATGATGCTAAAATACTATAGGTGGGTTTTATAATAATTGCTATATGAAAAAGATATTAATTTTTTATACTATTTTTTTGTTTTATAATCCAATTCATAATATTACCATGTATAGTAGGGCCCAAGATTTTAATGAATTAACCTAAATCTATTTTTATAATAAAAAACAATACTCCAATTTGTTTATATGCAGATATAACTGATAATTGTTTGATAATTAAAAAAATGATTTCTAATACTAAAAAAATAAGACCAAAGATAATAATATATTTATTTTTATAAGAATTAATATTTATGTTGTTAGTGCAATTTGAAATATTTTGATCTATAGTTGTTTTCTGATTAAAGGTTAAGTTTTGATTAGAAAATTATCTGGTTATTAATTGAGAAATAAATAAATTTGATTGATTAGAAAAATTGCTCTTTATACAAGAATCACAAATATTAATTTGGTTAATGCTTAAAAAAGATCTTGACTAAAAAAATTTCTCTTTTTGCAAAAATTACAAATATTGATTTGATAGATTGATTCTTGATATTGATTTAAGAGTTGTATTAATCAGAAAATCTAAAGGTTAAAGTATATTTTAAGGATTGTTAATATTATTTATAGAAACTAAAAATTGGTTTGAAGAGTAATAGTATTATTGCTATAATACTAAAGTATATTTTAAGAATAAAGTATAGTTTAAAAAGTAGGATTTTATAATTTATTGCATAGTGCAATACATTGCACCCTTATAATAATTATAGTTAGGGTGTATCTCTATAATAATTAGAGTTAGGGTTAGTATTAGTGTTAGAGTTAGTGTTAGTGTTTGGGTTAGGATTGGGGTTAGGTAAAATTGCAAGAGGATTATTTTTCATTAATTACACAACAGGTGTTATCCTAGTAAAATTTTGAGATATAGTGGAGTGCAATATATTGCAAATACAATAAAAAATAAAACCCTAAAAAGTATTAGCAAGTATATAGTATCTTAAATAGTAGAAATATTATTAAATAAGTTTTGTATTATTGTAATAAGTGCTTGGTTTTGAAAAATAATTTGTTGTAAATATTTATTTTGTAAATTGTTTGTTGAGAGTTTTAATTATACTAAATAAATTGATTTTTAATTTGTTAAAAGTTTTAACTATTAATAATAAATTAGAATTTTGTATTTTAAATATTAACTTTCTTGATTTAAGAATTTTTTTAAAATATATAGATAGTAATTTGTAATATTTTCTATAAGTAATAGCAAACTATTTGTTTATTTTGTTTGTAACAAGTCATTTTTTGATTTTGTTTATCAGTTAATTGTATTTTATATTTAATATAATATAGTTAGAGATTTTTCAAAGTTGTGTAATACAGATTATTTCATTTTTTGATAAAGATCTGCAATTCTATAATACAAAATTTGACCAAATTTTGGCCAAATTATTGACTGCATTGTTATACTTTTGATATTTAGTATATAATTATC